TTCATGCTTTTTTGCTTCTCATTTTAAAACTTCTACCTTTAGTTACTAAGAAAATAGAGTTTTGAACATATTTTAGAAAATGACCGCAATATTTGCGGCTGATACAAATTTAATTAAGATGAAACACTAACCTAATCTCACAACAGAAAAAAAAAAAAAAAAAAATGACATCGTATAGCTGCTTTCCAAATAACAGACGAAATATATATATTTTTTTGTATATTTATACATTCTGTATGTTATATAAAAAAGTTACACAATTTTTATACATTTTTCGATTGCCGAATATAAATAGTTTACGGCGCGAACAAAAAGTGTAAAAGCCCCCAAAAAATTACTAATACTAATATCAACAAATATTCTGGCATCAGATGGGCAGAGCCATTTTCAGTCAAATAAAAAGCCTAGTACGTACTGTTAACTGTATGAAATATTTGTCATCTTCTTAATACGATAATGTTCACCAGTATCTGTGAATATGATAGTCACAATTACCTAAGCTTTTTCCTATTAAGTGATTGATACTGTATACGATCGAAATAGATTTCGACTTTCGTACGTCTGATCGAGTTCGAAAGATAATCGATCGAAGTGAGACCTCGAGATGAGTTCCGAAGATGGTACAAACAAGATTCGAATCCGAGGGGTTGATTAATGTCGAGTTCGATATCATTGTCAAGCTCGGATCCAAATCGAACTATGATGCAAAGTAAAGCTATCAAGCTTATGATCCAGAGACCGACCAACATTGACCCCGAGTCAATTCGAGAGCTCGAATCAGAATCGAGCTCGAGCCAAGATCGAGAGCTCGAGTCAGAATCGAGCTCAAACCAAGATCGAGAGCTCGAGTCAGAATCGAGCTCAAACCAAGATCGAGAGCTCGAGCTCGCAGACAAAAGCCGTTGCAATCTCACTAGAGAGAATCTTGGCAGAAATTGTGGAAAAACTATCGTGGGTCTCCCACTGACTATTTTAATTATGTTTAGAGAAAGATCCCTCTACTATAAAGGGCATGGTTATCATTTCTGTAAATGCAGGTTTTCAGGCTTACATTGTAATTAAAACACTATATTCTCCCATAGTAAAGAATTGTTCTTTCAAGCTTCTTAAATTGATTCCACTTGTTGAGTCCTAAAATTCATCTTCTTTACAACCTTATCTATTTTGCATTCTTTGCAATCCATATTTGTATTTCTATTTATCCTTACAATTTGTATTAAGTTGCGCCACATATCCTTAGAACTACGTACAAATTTAACTCCATCCATTTTTTTAGGTAAACAGTTTGGCGCCCACCGTGGGGCTAAGGATAATAGTGGTTATTTGATACGAATATGAAGAAACACACTGTTGTGTTTTGCGCTCGGTTCCGAAAATATCTTGGAATTTGGATTAGCAACGATTAACTACCAATCAAATAGCTTCACCAATCGACAACGGAGCCGGTCTTCAAGATGAGAATAATAACTTGACACCCAGTATCGAAAGGCCACTTGTAAACGCCGTTAGAGCTCGAATCGGAGCGCCAATATATATCAATTCGCACGTGGGCATTGAGGCGAACCTCCATGCTGAACCCGAGATTTGCATCCATGGTGGCACTCGGTCTGCAGCTCGAGATACCCATAACGTCGAGGAAAACGGCGTTAGCTTGTGTATGATTTTTGAAATGTTGCAATCCCAACAGGCAGCAATAGCTCAGTTGCAGAACCAAACCCAGCTACAAAGCATGCCGGAGCCTAGTCCACCTCGAGAAATCACCCACAGAACGGAGCCAGCCATAGTGAAGTCAAATGAGCAAGGATCGGGGACTGCTCCCGAAATTACTAAATTGCTCGAGGAACTCACAAAGCGAGTCGAAGCCAATGATAAAAAAAATAGAAACTTATAACTCTAGGGTCGATCAGATCTCGAGAGCTCCACCAATGATAAAAGGGTTGGATTCGAAAAAATTCGTGCAAAAACCTTTTCCCTCGAGCGCAGCCCCGAAACCAATCCCCAAAAAATTCCGTATGCCCGAAATTCCCAAATATAATGGAACGACCGATCACAACGAGCACGTCACTTCTTACACGTGTGCCATCAAGGGCAATGATTTAGAAGACGATGAAATCGAATCTGTATTGTTAAAAAAATTCGGAGAGACCCTCTCGAAGGGGGCAATGATTTGGTATCACAACCTACCACCAAATTCTATAGACTCGTTCGCCATGTTAGCAGATTCTTTTGTGAAAGCACATGCCGGCGCCATAAAAGTCGCAACAAGGAAATCGGACCTCTTCAAGGTAAGACAAAAGGATAACGAGATGCTGAGGGAGTTCGTATCTCGTTTTCAAATGGATCGAATGGACTTGCCACTAGTCATAGACGATTGGGATGTTCAGGCTTTCACTCAAGGTTTGAACGAACGAAGTTCGACGGCTTCACGGCGATTAAAGCATAACTTGATCGAATACCCAGCCATCACGTGGGCCGACGTGCACAATCAGTACCAATCAAAAATTAGGGTCAAAGATGATTAATTAGGGTCTGAACCCGCTGTTCGAAGGGATACTAATCGAGAACGAGGTCCGATCGGGGATTGATACCAACCATACCACGGAAGCCATGGAGTCAGTGAATCGAGACATAACCTCAGGCAAAATAACAAAAGAAGTGATCGAGGTCAAGGGTCCCGGGGGATGATGAACAGAAGTAGATTCGATAGGCCTGCCGGATCTAAGGAAGCACCTCGGTTATCAAAATATAACTTCAGCATTGATGCATCCGCCATCGTTTCGGCTATCGGACACATCAAAGATACTAAATGGCCTCGCCCCATGCAGACCGATCCTGCCTAGGGGAATCCCAATCAAATTTGCGAATATCATGGCACCCATGGCCACAGAACGGAAGATTGCAGGCAGCTAAGAGAGGAAGTAGCCCGGTTATTCAACAAAGGGCACCTTTGAGAATTTTTGAGCGATAGGGCGAGGAACCATTTTAAAAACAGGGATTTCGGCAAGCAAAACGAACAAGAAGAACCACATCACGTCATTCACATGATCATCGGCGGAGCCGATACCCCTCGGGAACCAGTGCTTAAACGTACTAAGACATCGATTGTGAGAGAAAAGCGATCTTGAACTCAAGATTACACACCCATAGGAACTTTGTCCTTCAATGATGAAGATGCAAAATGAGTCATACAACCTCATAATGATGCACTGGTAATATTCGTACTCATGAATAAAACTAAATTTAAGCGTGTGTTGATTGATCCAGGTAGCTCGGCCAACATCATCAGATTGAAGGTCGTAGAACAGCTCGGCCTGCAGGACCAGATCGTACCCGCAACCCTGGTTCTAAACGGATTCAATATGGCATGTGAAACCACCAAAGGCGAGATAATTCTACCAATAAACGTGGCCGGAACCATCCAGGAAACGAAGTTTCACGTGATCGAAGGCGACATGAGATACAACGCCCTTTTCGGAAGGCCATGGATCCACAACATGAGAGTTGTA